AAGACGTGGTTGTTCCAGCTTGCGGGACTGGCCTAAGGGATTTTAAAGGGGTTTTATTTATTTTTAAATTTGACGAGTTTAAATATTTCTTTTTAATCAATTTTAATAGGTGTATAATGTGTGTGTTTTTTATCTGATTGTTAGCCGCCCTGAGTCCGTAAGGAGAAGGGCGGGATATAAATGTAATTAATAAATAAAAAAAAAAAAAATTAGGTGAGAACACACCAAGGTCCAAGCCATTCCCAGCATGGTGTCTTCCGGCCCTGAGCTTCAGTAAAGTGAGGGGCTGCCTCCTCCCCTACCCATCTGGGGAAAGGATGGGTGGAAAGGATGCCCTTTTGGCTTCCTTACACAGTAGCACTCCTCATTTATGGTACCAGCATTGGTGCTGGTGCTGAAGTAGAGGCCCAGGGCCTTCAACATCAGGGCCTTCAGCAGTCTTAGCCAGCCACACCCAATACCAGGCCTCTACTTCATCCCTGGTGGTGCCACAGCCAAGCACTCCAGTGCCACAGCACAATGTCCCAGCTGCCTCCACCACTCTGCTTCACTGGTCCTGCTATCCCAGCTGACCTTTGTCATTGTCTTTGTCCCACTGCCTACACAGCATGCCCAGCCTAGCCTTATATGAGGCAGCTGCTGGCTACCTCAGGCCTTCTTCCCAAGGCCACATTTGCCTGTCTCCAAATTGCAAGCAGCCTTATTGAGATGTTTCAGAGAGCCACAGAAACCATTATACACTGGTAGAAACCATTATATACAATGGACTTTCTCCAAGCTGTTGCCGATCTTTTCGTGGACCCATCCGGCCACAGACATATACTGCACACCCACCAAACTCCACAGCACCTTCCCTCCCTCTGTTTCATCTTCCCATCAATTTGCCATCCTCACACATGTTGCCAATCTATTATATTTTTTTCTTTTAAAAAATTGCATCATCATGTCCCCTTGGACACATCATCATACACACACACCAGTTTGGAAACCCCTGATTGAAAGCTACTAAATTTGGCCTGCAAAATATGGATGATCGCTAGATGGAAACAAGGAGTTTTATGTTTCTCTTTGCTGCCATTTGTTGATCATCTGGATTCTTGGAGCCCAGATTTGTTACTAGGAGAAGGTGACTGCCAACATGTGATAGGACTCATTATCAGTTTATAATGAAAATACTGAGAACTAGGTACCATGATGCTAATCATATATTTTGAATTATCGTAATTAATTAACTTAAATTTATTGGCTGCCTAATTCCAGTAGACTCTGGAGCTTGGAGGGACAGGAGCATAGAATCAACTATATACAATACACAGCTCAAAATCAAAATC